AAAAACAATCAACCCTTTTCTATGTCATTTCCCTTTGAACAGATAAGAAGCTTACAAAAGTAAAATTACAGTGTTTGCTTGAAAACTAATCTCCACTGGTCTGATTTGCCACCAGCCCCTCCCCAGCCAGCAGCAACATTTTCAAAGATTCTTTCTCCCATGTCCAATACTTCACTTGTGTATTTCAATTCTTAGACCAATATATCAAAAGCTCTTTTTTCTTAAAATACTGCAATAGAATAAAAAAGATAAAGGTAATATTTCATTTCTTATGTAAAGGCAGGATACTAAATTTGTGTGAGGGAGAGAGGCATAGGACTAGATTGCTTGTGACCATGACAAACCAAATTTGTCTAAGCTGGTACACAAAGTCCTGTTAGTCCTTAAAGCAGGGTAGGAGGAAAATAACACCATTTGTTACCCAGCTGCACAGCAGGACCTGGAGAAACTCCTGCTCTGCATTCAGTAGCTTAGAGATTGGTAGCTGCAGGATCTGCTTAGTGGAGTGCCTGACAGCTCCAGAGACCTTCTCCTGTTTGCCATGCCCAAGTCGTCCTCCAGGTCAAAGACACAGTCTCACTAGGGGAAATTTCTTTACCTTCCAGAAAATGTCTTGGAGTGTTCCTAATCACACTATGGTCTGATCCAGACAGAGAATCACACCCATGAAGGTTTGACCCAGCTGGATCAACAGTGTGGGGAAGACACCACTGCCCATGAGAAGGGGTGTAAGAGGAGCATGATGATGGGTGTCAGGTGTGAGAGAATTTAGAGGGGATGGAAAAACCTGCTGATACCATGCTGAATATGTGCATTCCTTCAAACTGTGCCTCTACAGCTTTTACTGAACCAGTATACACAACACTTCTGGCAGGGTTAGCAGAGTTACCAGAGACAAATATCAGTACAAAAGAAAAATAAATAACTGAGTGCAAGAGCAGAACATCAGAGAGGATATAGGGAGCTTCACAACCACTGTGTCTTGGTGTACATCATTCTACCTTCAACATCTAAATAAAACTGACTTGTGCTCCCTCCACAGGTCATGAAAGATCACAGAACCATAGAATAAACGGTAGAAGGGTCTCAAGGATCATCTGCTCCAACCTTTCTTAGCAAATCATGATCTAGTCAAGATGGCCCAGACAAATCTGAGATGTGTCCTGTGTGGGAAGGCTGCCTAGTGCAAACATTAGCTGTACTTCTGAATGTCTCCCAGTTTAGTTTTGGTGTTGTTGGAGGTATTTTTGGTTTTGTTGAGGGTTTTGTTTGTTTGGGTTCAAAGTATTTTGTTCTAGAGGTACAGTTACTTCTGGAATGCCTTATAGCTCTGTCCTTAGGGATTGCACTTCATGTGTTTACCTGAGAGGCAAGGCACAGTAGCAGGAGATTGATTCACTGGCAAATCTGACAGCCCCTGGACAAAACCCATCTGTTGTCATCCCAGCCTGGATTCCCAGAGATTCCCTGAGGGTCCCAAGGCAGTGAATGGCTGCAGGTTGGTTGAGCCCTGTAGGGAAGCTTTGTTTGATCTCTCTTTTAAATCATTAATAATTACAAATGCACAAAAGCTTGCCTGGCAGGTGACAAAGAACGACCATTCCCCACTCACAGGCATAGAAAACCAGAGTACATCAGCCTAAAAACATGTTTGGAGTGAAAACCTTGTTCCACTAAGTGTTAGCTTTTATCTGGATGTGAACAAGATTGCACATTCCATGGATGATTCTCATGGGTCTTTTGGCTAGACTGAACTTTCACTTTGAAACATACTCAACATACTCATAATTTAAAAAAAAAAAAAGGGAATAATCATTGGATTTAAAAGCAAGTTCATGGCAGTCATTCTTTACCCTGCTTTCACACTCTGCCCAAAAAAAAAAGACTAAGGACACTTATATCTCAAAACTAGAGGTGCATCAGTACCATTTCTACTGACATGTCACCATATGACTTTAGACACCAAGAGTGCTCTTTAGTCCCAGACAAAACACAGTGTTTCACTTACCATTTAAGTAGAGTTTTCAATCTGCAATTTTTTTCCAAAAATTATTTTAATAATATAAAAAAGAAAGAAACAAAATCTGTACCTTACTTAAGTGGTAACTGAAGAGAAAAATTAACATTTTTCAGAGGATGGTGAGGCACTGGAACAGGTTGCCCAGAGCAACTGTGGCTGCCCAGTCCTTGGAAGTGTTCAAGGCCAGGTTGGATGGGGCTTTGAGCAACCTGGTCTAATGTGTGCAAGGTGACCCTACACATGGCAGGGGGCTTGGAAGCAGATGATTTTTAAGACCCCTTCCAACCAAAGCCATTCTATGATGATGATTTTACCACTGCTCAATGCTACAATTTCTTCACCTAAAATAACAAGTGTCAAAAAAGAAAAAAAAGTCTTAAATGTAACTACACTTTTTTAAGCTTTGCTTCTGCAATTGCTCCAGGCTCAGTAATGCACAATGCTTGGAGGAATTTGAATATATTTGAAGCCTTCTGTTTTGTTATCCTGTTTATATGTTTGTGTGTTACAAAATTCTGCCTCTCTAGAGGTGAGCAGACACCATGTGCCACTTACTTTGCCATTTTGCTTCAGAGGTTTCACTTATTGAGAAGTAAGCTTAATGCAAATAAAATTACTTTCCTCTCCTGGCATTTGGCAGTCACACGGAAACGCAACAGAAGAGCAGAGTATGAGAGAGACTCACTTCTCAGAACTGTGTTCAGAAAGAATAACAAGCATTAAATTCAAAATGAACCATCTGTGACAACCCCTGAGCAGTGCCTCATTTCAGTAAGTGCAAGCCTGGGAATGAAAGTGAAACTGTACGGAACTGTCAATTAAAATAATCTAATATAGACTGGAAGCCCTCTCTTTTCCATTTTCTTGGCATAAATTTTAAAGTTCAGGAGAACAGAATTACATCTGTAGCCAACATACATTACAGACCTCATGGGAGGAAAGGTGCTGGAAGAGGCACGATTGTTGTGGATCACCTCTCAGCACTCCATATATATCTGGTGTAAGATAATACAACTTCACATCAAAATTAATTCTAAAAAAATTTATAAAAAAAGAGTGATTTCACATCAGAAATAAGGTATTTACCATTCCCCATTTGGGAAAACTATCTTATACAGTTGCAATTAGAAATGAAACCCAGAGAGTTTCTGTCAGTTCACTCAGATCACAAAAAAACAGAGCAATGGCAGCATAGCCAAGGTAAGTAGAAACACATGGAAATTCCTGCTTGCCCGAACACTATATATGTATATGTATACTGTACATTTACTGGCTACACCTTTGGATTTACAGGATTTAAATCACATCAAAATTTGGTCCCCAGAGTGTTCAGCGGCGGTTCTGGGAAAGGGTCCAGAAGAATTCAGTCAGTAACCATGAAGACTCTGTCATTTTATAAGATATAGGGTGCTGACTGAAAAAAATAGGCATTGTTAGGCAGTAAAATTGCAGTTTTAGTCCTTATTGAATTTGGACCTACACTGCAAGCTGTAAAAAATACTCAGCTAATAGAACATTGTGTATTTTTATTGAATCTGGAAAATACCCCTGAGACAGCAGCTCTCAATGCTGCCAGGATACTTTCCATAAGCACTGAGCTAGAGTTGTACGTGTGTAAATACCAAGTGTGTTTCAAGGCCTTCCATTTTACTGGTACTACTTTGTAAGATATTTTGTCACCTGAATGAGTATATGGTTATTTAAGAATGTAAAAATCTTAAAGGTATTTTAAATTCTGTTTTATCAACATTAAGGTGTTAATCCATGTTTAAAATAAGACAGTAGTATGGCAGTAGCTCAAGCTCTGCTTGCCCCCATGTTCTGGTTACAGCTGGGATAAATTAGTTTTGTTCTTACTAGAACAGTGCTGTGTTTTGGATTTGGGATGAGAATAATGTTGATCACTCTGGTGGTGTTCACAGGGGTCTTAGGATGAGGGAAGAGACGAGAATGTTGACTCCATGTTTCAGAAGACTTGATTTATTATTTTATGATATATATTATATTAAACCTATACTAAAAGAATAGAAGAAAGGATTTCATCAGAAGGCTGGCTAAGAATAGAAAAAGGAATGATAACAAAGGCTTGTGACTGACCAAGACAGTCTGGACAGCTGGGCTGTGATTGGCCATTAGTTAGAAACAACCACATGAGACCAATCACAGATGCACCTGTTGCATTCCACAGCAGCAGATAACCATTGGTTACATTTTGTTCCTGAGGCCTCTCAGCTTCTCAGGAGAAAAAATCCTAAGGAAAGGATTTTTCATAAAACATGTCTGTGACAGATCACACTCTGATGTTTTGGCTGCTGCTCAGCAGTGCTCACCCTACGTCAAGGACTCTTCAGTGGCTCCTGTCTGCCAGTGAGGAGCTGCACCAGGAGCTGGGGGGGAGCACAGCTGGGACAGCTGGTCCAGACTGTCCAAAGGGATATTCCACACCATCAAGTATCATGCTCATATAAACTGGGGGATTTGGAAGGGAAGGGCTGATAGCCACTGGGGGACAGGCTTGACATTGTTCAGGGGGTGGTGAGCACTGGTGATGTGCATCACTTGTTCTTCTCAGGTTTTCTTTCTTTCTCTCCTTTTCATTGCAATTATTAGTGTTTTTATCCTTAGTACTATTATTATACTTTCCCTTTTTTCAATTCCTAAACTGTTCTTATCTCAGCCCACAAGTTTTTTTACTTTTTTCTGCTTCTCCTCTCCAACTCACTGGGGGAAAGAGGAGTGAGAGAGCATCTGCATGGTACTTAGCTGTCACTGGGGTTAAAGCACAGCACTTAAACATTCAGAGTCCCACCACAATCAAAGTGTGTTTGCAGGACTGACCTCAGGAGAGAGAATGCCTCTCTGTGCATGCCTTTTGAGCAAATCAGGGACCTACCAGGATCTCCTTAATGGGAGCCAGCCCAAGGCATGGCTGTGACTGCATCACCCAGCCTGAGATCTCAGCTGTTACTCTTTCCTCCAGGTATTCCTTTCAAGATGAAGAGGACATGTTCATGGTGGTGGATCTCTTACTTGGAGGGGACCTGCGTTACCATTTGCAGCAGAACGTGCACTTCAATGAAGGAACTGTTAAACTCTACATTTGTGAGCTGGCCCTTTCCTTGGATTATTTGCAGAGATACCACATCATTCACAGGTGAGTGAATTTCATTTGAGGAGTGGACTGCTTGCTTTTGGCAGAGCAGAGGAACTGCTCATATATCTGATTTTGTAGTTCTGTTCATTCAAAACCCCTGTAAAGTTCCCATTGCTTATTCAAGGGTGGAATTTGGGTCTGAAAGGTTTTCTTTTTAAGTGCTTTCTTTCAGTCCACAGCCATTCAGTAGCCTTGTATCCTTCTCATACTGCCCTTTTCTCCTTCTGATCTCATATTATGATCTACATTTTCCACTTTCTTCAAACACTAAATACAATCCATAATAGCATACTGATTGCTTTTAATTTATTTTTAATTCTCCAGTGCCCCAATGTTACTGAACACAAAAATGTTGTAATCCAGGTCCAGAGTTTACCACAACAAGATCAGGGAGCAGTTATAGAACCTAAAGCTGAGAATAATTTGTTTACTGGCAGCATCTGCATGAAGGTCAGGAGGAAGAGAGGTGAGGAAGTAGGAATAATAGTACAAATCAAATTGGAACAATGATAGATGCTGCATCCTTTTTGCACTTTTTATATTACATCAATCTGTTAGGTTTTCTGCCATACAGAAGCAAAGATAGTATTCACTTTGAAAAATGTGTCAGGAATCAGGGTCTGTTTTCCTTAAACATTTTGGCATTTAACTGAAGTAGCAGGAATAACTTCTATTTTTATGTCAACACAGTAACTATGAAATTATAAAATTATGGGCTTGAATCTTTTTTTTACTCATTTTTAGGCTAAATTCAGAGTTACCTTTTCTGATTTAGAGTGGTATGAATGCAAAAACACAGTTTTGTATATAGAAAATCTGGATGTGACTTTCAGAGACCAAACTGAACTAAGCTGTGTCACAGATCTCCCAAAGACCAGTTTGAACAAATTCCTTCAAATGCATTAATGGAGAGTTTCCACCCTATCCACTTGCCAGAGCTGCCTCCTGATTTTGCAATAAAGATACAATAAAAAGTATGATCTGACTTTCAGAGGCGGAATGGCCAGCATGAAATCTATCTGAGCAGAGATGCAGTGGTAGGTGGATATTTCATGTTACTGAAACTGTGCTATATTCCAGTAAACATTGCAACACTTGCTTTGTTGGCAGCTAGATCTCCAAATATAATAAAACTTGCAAATATTGCAAGAAAATTCTTCAGTACACTATTTTAGTATATTTCCATTAATTTTGCATAAGTTTTATTTTCTCAGTGAGTATTTTAAAAGTGGAGCTCAGAATTATAGCTGACCTTTGTTCCTAATCCCTTAAGGAATGCTCTTGGTGGAAAACAGATTGATGAGATCTTTTATGCAAATAGGCTGGCAAAGTATTCCTTAGATTATCCAGTTTGCAGTCAAAACTTGTATTTTGCTAGAAGTCTGTAGCTTAAAAATGTATCACAGAAAAGCCTGAGAAAGGTGACAGATGTCTTGAAAGAATGAAGGACTGGATTGAATTTGTGGTTGTTCATAGCTTTTTTGGCAATGTCTGCTGTGTCATGGTCCCAGGAGGAAACTGGGCTTGACTCTTTCATCTCTTTTGCATTAATTAATCAAGTGAACACTTGATTTTTTTTTCTTTTTTTTTTCTTTTTTTGAGTCATAGTGGTTCAACGCTTGCTGATTTGCACTGAGGTGGGGGAAGGTATGGTCATCCAGAGCTGGTTGTTGGCTCCATTTGGGAGCAAGTTCTGCGATTTGGATTTGGCTTTTGCTCTGCACCAAAAGTTTTGACAGAAAGATTGGACAAAATAGCTCTCTCTCAGCCTGCAGAGTGTCACTGACTGGTTAGCTAGGATTTTTTGTCTAGGGATCTGTTTCAGGACTCTGCTGTGTTATGGAAGAAGTGTTTATTTTGAAGCTGGCAGTCCTGAGATCTGAATGCGTCTGTCCCACTTCACTGCTCACTGCCCAAATGACACAACTGTGGCACAAGGAGCCTTTTGCCTCTCATCTTCTCACAACTTGCAGCAAAACCCCAAATGATCCACACACCCATGAACATGTTATTTAGGCAGGTGAGACCCAGAATATTCTGCCTTCTGTCTCACCAGCACCTGGAACAGCAGTCTGTGGGATGGGTCTTCAGCTGCCTTGAATCTCTGTAGCATATCTGGCACCAAGAGTGTAGTGCTGACTTAATTTGGTGCAGAGCAGAGCCAGCAGTGATGCATGGTGAGGGTACATCTAGTCATTCCTTTATCACTGCAAACACACCCTCTTGTTTGGAGATGAAATCAGTGATCTGCTTGGTGTTTATACCTTGTGGTAGCAGGCCTCAGCAACATCATTGTTACCAAGTGCTTCCAGTCAGCATTCACATGCTAACCTATATTAGATCTTCCATTTTCAAATGAATGTGATGGCAGCAAAAAGGAAAAAATGTTAGTAAGTCAGAGAGTCATTGAGAGAGCCTCTGAGAGACAACATCTCCTACATGTTGTCTTGGCTACAAAGAAAGAATAGTAGAAGGATTTATCAGACTGGTTGGTGGATTTTCAAACTGCAGCATCATAAAGAACTGAATATATGGGGTGTGAATTAGGAGTTTAATTCCTCCTAATATACCATTGTGTATGAAATATGTTCAGATTTCCATTACTATTGCATCCAGCACCATGATGGATTGGGTTTTTCTAGGTTAGCCTGTGTCCCCAGGAGTTTGCTAGAAAAGGAAATGGTACTGAAGGGGACAGGAATTCCCAGCATGTGAGAATGGATGCAGGAGTGCAGGGATCAGTACTGTGCCCGTTCCCCTTGGGGATCCCTTGCAATGCCTCTGTGTTTCTTGATGTGGTTAGTGGTGTGTACTTTGAATGTGGCAATCATTTCAGCAATAGGACTTTTGTTACTGCAGGGACAAATTTAGCCATAAATAGAATAAACCCCACTACTGCTCTGGTGTATTTATGAAACTTGCAATTTTTATTAATCACATCCATGTGTATAAAATCCATATTTGTAATGCATAATTCTGCTATAGTGGATTTATTTATTATGGTACAATAATGAATGCTGCTCTGTGTCTTGAAGCTCTATTGTAAATGTTTGCATTTGCATGGATGTTCACCCAGAATTATTAAAACTTTAAAAAGAAAATATCTAAGTTTCAAGCTATTATTAGAAGGCTACTCTGAGTAAATTTTTCACTTATACAACAGCTAACTTAATATTGAGATTGCTGGTCACAGCTAAGAGTTACACCAAAATCTCTTATTTTCTCACAGCCTTGCTGTAATTATATTTTATCCACATTTCTCACATGAAAAAATTATCATTTTAAAGCTGGATGGGTGGCATTTCTTATAGACCCTTGGATCCCAGTACACCCAGAAAGGCTTCTTACAGTATACATCATCTCAAACATTGTCAAATTTTGGATCAAATCCGGAATTCTGCCATTTCAAGATGGTATGACTAAACACATTCCTTCCAGAACTGGTTGTATAATGCCAGTGAATAATGTATTGGACAAAAGTTTTCTCATCAAAGGCTGAATAAACTTATTTCAGCCATGAGTAACTCAACCTTCTCCTTTCACAAATGTTGCTGTTCATACATTTCAATAAAACCACCTGTCTCCTGACCAAAGTAGGCTGCCTGTTTCCATTCAGAGAGTTCTTCCTGCAGTAGCTCCAGTGTTGTCTCTTCTAGGCTGCTCTTGCAGCTACAGCCCTGGCTCAGAGCAGTGCTGGCCCTGCAGTGCTGTGGCTGCTGCCCTGGTAACATGCTCATGCTGAAAAAAAATCACATTTTCTCTTTCTAAGGGACAAATGTTAACTGCATTGCCCTCACAACTTTTCATCATCGTCTGGCTCCACTGGTTTTCATCTGCTTAGAGAGGAGGCTGGATGTGGCAGATGTCTGGAATGGAAATTGCAGTAACCTTCCAGCACAATTTTAGGATACTGGACTAGCTCTTTGATCAGTGTGTCCAGGACACTTTTATTTTAGTAGGGTTTATTTAATGCAAAACTGTTCATGTGTGTATGTGTACATATATAAGCGTACATATAATTTTTTTTTTTTTTTTGAGCACGATATGGCTGGAACCAGCCTGGCCTGGCAGGTCTGTGCTGTGTGATCACCAGTCTGTTTTCCATTCCTCCAAGTTCTGCTTCCAATGGAGAATAGCACCAGGAGTTATTCCAGCTCTGAGTAACTCAATAGCAGTGCAGGGTGGGCCAAAGCTAATGGAAAATGGTGGCAAATTGAGCATTGCATTTTCCTCTGCCAGATGATCCAGTGCAGGGTAAGGCTGTCCTGCTGCTACCAGCTAGACAAGAGTTACTCTGTGCTCAGGACTGAACCTGTTTGTTCATTATCATTGAGTCTGCCAAGTTGTTTGACAGACTGGTGAAATAAGATACTACATCTAAATTATTAGACACTTCTCTAAAATGGGCCTGCCCTGTCTCACTTGTGACAACATACAGCAAAAGAACAAACTCTGTTTAAAAGGGTGCCCTTCACGCATTTTCCATTTAGTATGTAAGCAGTAAATAGTTTTGAAAATTACTTGGAGATGGAAAATTTGCCCCTAGATTTTCCCAGGTGTCACAGGCAGAATAGTGCCAACCTGAGATTTAGCTGGATATACTAAATGAAACACAGTTCCTTACAGATTTCTGCTCATACTAATAGTCTTTTACTTTCTGGCAAGTGTGTGTAGATGGAGAAAAATTGTAGTAGGGTCTGAAGTAGATGAACTAGGGAAAAAATAACCATCATATGGCTACAGTTCATAAGCAGTATCGAAGATCATAGCAGATCAAGAGGCTCGTCCACTGAATTTCCTTAGTTTGTGTTCCCATGTCTCTTCCATGGCATTGTATCATGTCCTTTAAACAAGTGCTAGCCCACATTATTCTGAGGAAAAATTACAGGAACTGAGCAATGAGCTACGTAAGAGAAGTAAATCAGAAAACATATCAAAACCAGTCCAAAAAGAAGCACCATGCAAACTATAAATCCCTGAACACTTGCTGAATGCTTATG